CCAGAGACCAAGGCGCGTCTTTCTTTCGCTCGGAGGCCTGGAGACAGGCTTCCGTAAAATGGTACCGTTCCTAGACTCCTGCTTTGTTTTTGAAAGGAATCTTTGCCCTCGCATTTCAACGCTGAAGAGTTCGTCTCTTCTTACCCCTCAGTTGGTTTCCTCTTCACGCCCTCAAAGACCAAGGATGCACTTGTATCTTGGGAAGAGACAGAGAGTTGTCTGAGAGTAGCCCGGCTCTCTGTGGTGAATGGAAGTTGCTGTTCTGTCTGCAGGTACCAGGACCACCACAGGTGAAGCTTCTTGTGGAAACCAAGGCTGTTCATGTCTCTCTCTTCCAGGGACGCATTACTCCCTGCCCTTGCAAGGCTTCCCACATTGGGCCCTTCTGCAGTATCGGGTCCGTCTTTCACTCTTGTGGAGCCTCTCTGTTTGCGAGGCAGGTGCCACATGGCCTGTTGAATAGTATAGGCAGCCATTCCAGCGGCAAATATTTGAAAAAAGCAACTCAAATTCTAATTGGAGCCCAGCTTCTGTGTGAGCTGTTGTATGCGCCACAAAGCCTCTCTCTGGCTGGTTTGCCCAAACTCTAAAAGGGAAATAGAAATCAACATAATTGGAAATTGATCCCAGTGGTAAAGATCAGCAGCTAAACACAGAGCATATGAAAGATGAGTGTATAGAAAGATAAACCACTGTGGACTGCAGCAAGATCTAGAAGAAGGCTCATGAAGGATGGACACTGTGTACAGGGACCCATCATCTGCACATGGATGGTGGTGCTTTCTCCCAGAAACCTCGTACCCTTCAGCTTTCTCTTCCCAATTTTCTTCATGGGCTTCTCTTCCCACACCTTCCCCTAAATGCCTCATGCTCCTAGGGCTCTATCTTGGCTCACCCCTGTTCTCACTCCATGCTCTTTCCCTGAGTGATCTCACCCACTTCCATGGCTTAAAGCCACTACCATGCGCTGCTGACAAGTTCTCCTGCTCAGACCTCTCTTCAGAGATCTTGTCCGGTTGACTTCTCCAGCTAGATGGCTCAAAGGCAGTGATACTCCACTGACATGAAGTGGAGCTCACCATCTCTCCCTTGTCACCCCAAACCTGCGGCTCCCCTATACTTTCTGTCTTAACCAAGCTTGAATCAGAAGAACCACCGGTCTCACTCTTACTCCCTATTCTTCCCTGGTCTTCAAATACTACCCATGTATATCCTTTTTCTCGCCACTGCCCTTCCAAGCCATCTCCAAGGGCTTCAGTTCATCTCCTGGCCTCCCCTCCCACATCCTCCAGTCCAGCCTTTACACTGACAGCCATCGTCTTTCTAACATCCTCATCTAATTGTGCCTTTGCTGCTCAGATTTCAACAGCTCCGCATCACCCAAAGACGAGGTCTGTCCTCTTTGTTTCATCATTACAGATCTCAATCTTCGCAGCCCTGCCTAGGTGCCCCACCTTGTTACTAGCCATTCTCTAACACTCGCCCAAGTGTTTGCTTGGCCCCAGATGCTCTCTTGGCTCTGTGCTTTGCTAATATGCTGTTCCTGCTTCCGCAGAGGCTTCCTCAGTATGGTCTGCCCAGTGATTCCAAGGCTGCCGCCACTGTGAAGCTATCCCTCACTCCCCAAAGGAAACCAAAATGCTCATTGTTCTGTGCCCACTTAGAACGTGGAGTTGACCTAGCACTTGTCCTGCAACTATTATAAATGTATTGTGTGAGTCAGCCATTCTGGATGAAAAGTTCCTTGATGGCAGGGACATGCATGGCCCCCAGAGTAAGCATTCAACAAACGTTGAGTGGGCAAATATCAGGATGCCCACACGTGACAAGGAAGTCAACCCAGCATATAGCAAAAGCATCTTAATCTTTCTCACACTGCATAAGAGAATGACTTTCTAGTCTGGAACCTCCGTTGGCAAGTCCATCCGAAGCAGCCCAGTTGAGGCTAAATAGCTGTGTGCCACCAGAGGTGGGCAGCCAGGAGGCATGCATGCCACCAGTCACGTATCAGTTCCTTCAAGAAACACCCCTGCTTGTCTTTCCTTTCAAACATAGCCACAGATCTGCAGGATGAAGAAACAATGTCTGAGGTTATGCGAGGTGGTCCTCAGCTTTGCTTCCAACCCTGTGGCACTTGGACCATGGGAAAAGATCTGAACTTTTAGTTAGACTTCATCTCTGGGTAGCATCTTAACAGAGTCTAGCATCCCAGTCATCGGAATTCCTGGCTTGGGAGGAGTGAAATGGTGCAGGTGCTCACTTCTCTGGTTTGTTTCCCTTTTAAGGGAGTTTTGTTTTAATCCCTGGCAAAGGAAGGTGCCTTATCTCCAGCCAGGGGGTAAAAGTAGGCTATGTTCTTAAGAACTGGGATTTGCTCTTCTTTGTTCATGTTTGAGGAAGGAGGGCCCTTTCAGCTTGCAGCACCGAGCGAAGCTCGGAGATACTTGCTGTACAAGCAGAGAACATGTGCCTGCCTTGGGGAAAAATGGCCAAGAGGAGCTTACATCGCCCAGGAACACATCTAGAAATAGCTTCTCGGGAAGGCCTACTCACCGTGTTGTGAAGCTGTGTAGGAACCTTTTGTAGGAAAACAACTCCCAGTGGCCCACATTTTCACTATATGGGTGAGGCAGGCTCTTTCATCCCTCTAACAAGAATTCTGGTTGTCCAAATCTTTTCTAGAAAGGAGCTAGTACTGACTGGACTACTAGTCTCACTGAGCCAAGATTTGCACCCCACTCTCCCCAACTCTTAAAACACCATATTGTCCTCTTGGCTTATAAAATACCCATTTACAATATGATTTAGTAGCTCAGGATTCTGTTTTATCGTGAGTGGCTTTTACATGATGAAACTGTAGGGCACCGGTGAAAAGTCTGGCCCATGAGATGCTCCGTACTCTCTGTGACAAATTGTGCCCAGGTGTGCTGTGGGGTTGCCCAGACTTCACTGAACCATGATCCACTGAGTTTTCCGAACAGCAACTTGGGACTTTTCAAAGATGTGAGTAGTCAACATGAAACCTGGTGCCAAAGCATTAACAAGTCACTGGCCCCAAAGCCAGAGCTGTAGTTTTTGCTGCTCACTCTGCAGAAAGATTAGCATTGTTTCAACAACAAAACGTGGTGGAGAATAAAGTCTGGTAAAATGGGTGCAGGATGTCACAGGAGGGAAAGCGCCAGAGCCTGAGCTGGATGGGCCCGGACTCTGTGCAATCGCAGTTTGAGTCAAGGAGGACATAAGTGGTTGATACTATGTGCCTGGGGAAGCCTTTTCTCTTTGTGGTTCCTGATGGTCCCAGAGGGACTCTCTGCTTGTCATGGTAGAACGAAGGGCCTCGAAGCACAAAATCAAGTGATCTCTTGCCTGAGATGACTGAGTTTGGTCTTCAAATGGCATTGGATAGCCAATTCTATTTCTTTAGAGGTTCCCCTTCTTCAGCCTTCACAATACTGCAGATCAAGAGGTAAACTCACCAGGCCCACCCTCCCCTTGTAATCTTCGAATTTCGGGAGATCATTGAATACCCACATTCCATAAGCCTAGGTTGGGTTCCCCGGGGAGGCCGGACCTGATTTCAGAGTAGGCCAGGTTTCTTTCATCAATCCCAGTTAACTACTTTAAAAATTGGAAATTGGAAGTTTCCCACTTATTCTGGAGTGTTTGTCAGTGCCTCAGAATAAAGCACTTGGTGCAACAGACAGTATCTTGTAATCAACATGGTTAGTAATGGATAATACTTTGTAGGAAACATGAATAACATTTATCCAGTGCTTCAACATTTCAAAGTACTTTGAAGTCATTGTTTATCCAGCCCTACCATTGATGGGCTGTTTGGTCCTCATCTCACAAGAAGTTGCTACAAGGCAGGAAAAGGCCAGGAGTTGGGAGGCCTGGTTCTAGTCCCCATTTTACCACATACTTGCTCCGTGACTTAGACAATGACTTAACTTTGCCATCTGTAAAATGAGCGAAGGGTCAGGGAAGGTGATTCTAGAGAATTCTCAAAGATCTTATTAGCTCAAAAACTCTGAATTAAAAGAGCAGGGGCAAGTGCTTTGTTTTGGTTGAACTTAGCAAGGTGATAGTTTTCATGGATTTTGATATAGTTACTATTTAATTTTCCCAACTCTAGAATCCAAAATGTGGGCTTATTTCAGATATGCTTTGGAAATTCTATTATCCTATGATCTAGCCAATCTTTGGGCCTTTCCAGTCCTGGTATATTTGTGGTTGCTATTCAAGGAAAAGGTCTGAGACACATCCAGACACACTCCATAGTCTGGAGAAATGGTCAGCGGGGGCACAAACACACACACACACACACACACTGGAGTGATAGTTTTGGAGTCTAGGATGCCCTTATTTTCCCGCTGGGGCATAGGAAAGCAGAAGGAGGATTAGGCTAAGAATGACAGCAACTCCACCCATGGACTTCCACGGTTGCCTGGGTGAGCTCTTCCTGTGGAAGTGGCAGAAAGAGCATGTGGAGAGCTACACTGAACCTAGAAGGAAATCTTGGAGATGAAGACTCATCATATGTAGTTTTAACATTCTAAGTCAGTTCTTTCCAAATCAGTAATGAAGTAGTCTGGCCAAAGCAGTGGTTCCTTGCCATGTTTTCGGTCATGAACCCCTTTGAGAACCTTATGGAAGCTATGGTGACTTCTGTCCAGAAAACTACTCATATATCCACAAATTGGGGTATAATTCTAGGGAATTCCTTTATGCCCTGCAGCCCATGGACCCCAAGTTTGCAACCCCCAGTCTAAAGTAGAATAAGGGAGCCTGACAGTGGGAATGTCAGGGCTAGACCAAGACTTCGAAGTCCATAGTTTGCTGCCAAAACGGAATTGAACAACTAGTAACATAAAGGGTTTTTTTCTTCTTTTTTCCCCCTCTGACCATCACCCTCCTTTTCTTCTCTATTCCCACATCTTTTGTCATCTCTTGTTCCCGTTCAATTTCTCTCCCCATCTCTTGCACATCTTGCACCACAGATGTTCCGGCCTGGTTAAAAAGCCTCCGCCTGCACAAGTATGCTGCGCTTTTCTCCCAGATGACCTACGAGGAAATGATGGCCCTCACTGAGTGCCAGCTGGAGGCTCAGGTAAGTGCTGCCGGTGACCATCCCCTGAGAAGGTGCCCCAGGTGGAACCTGAAGTTCCCGCCCAAGACAGACCTTGTTTGGACCCATACCTATCCCCACCCAGTAGCTTGCCTTGTTCTACGACCTGCTAGGTGCTGGCCAGCATTACATGGTGAGTAAGGCTGGGTTCTTGTCTTCAGCGTCCAGTAGGCGGCGGGGGACCAGCACGTAACTGCAAGGCAAATACAGCTCAGGAGAAAGAGTATTATGAAAAAGGTTCTAAGTTCAAGGTGGAATGGCCTAGAAGGAACATTTGACCAAGGCCTCAAAGAGTCTGTGTTCCAGCCTTTGCTTTCCCTGCCCCCTCCCTCCGTGGTTTGGACAATGCCAGATTGGTTGTTTGTTGTCCAGTCCGGTTACAAATCAGCTAACTTCTAGTAGTTAGTGGGTAGAAGCACCAGGTCATGCCTCAGACCTTCCCCAACACTTTTCCAAAAACGTGTTCAGATTGGACTTAGTTGAGACTGGAGTAAGTTGTACAAAACACTTTTTCTTCTAACTGCCTTGCATAACACGGGACCGTCACAGAGAATGGGATAACCCCAGGTCTCAGGTTTCATTTCCCTTCTGGGTGCCATCAAAGAACAAAGTTCCCCCTTCCTTCTCAGGCGTCTTTCCCCAAGGCTAGGCCAGTCAACAGACCCCCCAAAACCAAACATGTTTCCTACCATGCTGTGCTCGAGTAACTAGATCTGACCGATGTGTTTGTTTCTCTTGTTTAAAATGCCATTTGCAAAATAAATAAAATAAAAAAATAAAATGCCATTTGCATGTTTCAAATTGACCTCAGTTTCCTTTGAGCAACGATTTAAAAGAATTAATGGTCTGAACAGGCTAATAGTATTTCCCTTGCAGGAAGAGGAGATTGTACCATTTGGGGCAGCACTGCCCTGGACTCACACCTCCCAGCAGGTGCTGGTTTCCCACTGCACCTTCAGTTAATTAACCTCTGCAGGCCTGGCTGAACACAGCTATTGAGATGCAAGACAAAGCCCAAAGTCGCTGCACATTCTCGGAGAATGAAAAGCACTAATTTCAACCTCCTCACACTTCTCCCACCACTTTTTGGATTTCGATTGCCCCTTGAGATCCCAGGGATTGATAGAACTACTTCTAAGAGCATTTTTTGTGTTTGGGTCCGAGTTGAGGGGAAAAAAATCTAAGTCCTCAGTTATTCGACTTGGGAAAAAACAAGACATAATTGACAGAGAAGGCAAAGCCAGAGGCCAGAACAAACTTTTCAGAGTAATTTAATTCACTTGAACCCAAAGTCAAGGCTAAACAGAAATCTGCCCCCAGCACTTCATCTTAGAGAGTGAGTTCAGTTGTCCCTTGAGTGTTAATATCTCTGAAGGAGATGTCTCTGGTGTTCCCATCTTTTCCTTCTGTAAGAGGAATTCTATGAATTGCTGCAAGAAGTCACCAGAAGTTTGTCTTAGAGACCTGACTTAAGAAAGGACCTCCTTTTTGGAACTTTGCAGTATCTCTAGTCAACAAGCATTGACCTAAATCCTTGGGCTCACCATTGCACACAGTTAAGCCAAAATCCACAGCCGTAACTGTGAATTCTAATCATTTAGCTCAAGTGATGACTGAATTGAGTTTTAGGTTCTTTTATATTCTGGTTTTCCTTATGGAGATCAAAGATGACCTGCAAACTGCCCAAAATGGCCCTGTGTTGTTTGGCAGCCGGTGAAAACCGTATCAGACTTCAGAGATGGGAAAACCTAGGAAAGGTTGGAGAAAACAATGAAGCTCTGTATGGGATTGGAACCTTCAAGCAACCTGGGTGGGACTGAAATGACAATATGGAGAAAGAGGGATGTATGACTTTAAAATGATCATTTAAGACTGTGAAGAAATTTCATGCTGGGTGGGTAATTTGCTGTTCTAGCTCTGTCTCTCTCTCTTTTCTCTCCTAAAGGTCACAGCCAAAGTACACAGGTAAATGTATAGCCAGATGTAGTCAGAACATTTAGTAAGGAGAGGTTTATGACAGAGGGGACTGAAGAGAGAGACAAATGGATATTTACTAGTCCACAAACATAGGAACCAAGAAGACAGTAAAGTAGTACTAAATAGCCTCCAGGAGTCTCTAAACTGATTCTTAAAAATATGTTTTTAAATTAACTTTTATTTAATTACAGAATGTTACCAAAGGTGCAAGACACAAAATTGTCATCAGTATTCAGAAGCTCAAAGAAAGACAAAACCTCCTGAAGTCTTTGGAAAGGGTGAGTGATCACCAGGGGAGGGCAAATCTCTGCCGCCATGATGGGAAAAGTCTCAGCTGAAGGTGTCATTGGCAGGCCTTATAGAGTGTTCCGCCTTGTTTCCTTACCAAAGGCAGAAAAAAATGAAAGGAGTTTGAAGTGAAAGTTTCCTGGTTATCCACACTTCTATGGAACCTGACCACTGACATATACTTACTGCCTGGGTCCAGGCAGCCTGTGACTGGCCATCCCAGTAGACTCCAGCTTCAATAGAGGGAATCAGAATCATTTGGCTGATAAGCCCTTATCAGCTGCTACTGTCCCTGCCTAAACAGGTTCTCTTCCTATCTTTGTATCCAGACATTGCCCTCGTACTGGTATCATTTTGGGGACTTGGTAACTTTATGATTTCATCTAAGGTGCAGAGGAGAGCAAGCCTCGTTCCTGTGCTGCCTCTGCCCCAAGCTGGGATTCTTGTGCAAGCACTGCTGTTGGGAGGTGGTTGGGATTGGTGGGCCAGAAGCTCCGTGGGCACATGCTACCTGCACAGCCTAAGTGGTCATGTCGTCCAGTAATCCCAGGGTGCCTTTGGAAGGGAACAGAGTATGGAGCTAGGCGGGCCTAACACAAGTTGTGTGAGCATGTCAACATTTTAGTGCAATGAGTTTTTCTTTGCTGATTTATAAAGATGTGTGTATATAATTTTACATAGAATATATAAAGTTACGTTTAATGCATATCACATAAAATATCAAGTAATATATATAGAATATGCATATATAACTTTATAAGGAAGGTGGCTCTGAAAGCCTTGGGATCGACAGATGGGTAGAGGCTACTCACATGGCACATCCGTGCTCAAAGGCCCGCCCTTAATTACAGTGAATCCCAAATGACAAACGACCTGTCCAACTGAACCCGAGGCTGTTGTTCTTAATTCTGTTTTATTTACCAAGCAGTTTGTCTAACAGTGATTATTGCCATCTTTAACATAAGAACCCATTCTCTTTTGGGGACTATGCAAAAGGCCAGTTTTCGCCTCTGTTAGAAAGCTCGGGAAGTGTTCTCCCTAAGGACTAGATTGCTGAGTGTTATGGTGAAAGAGTGATCATCCCCCTTTATCTCTGGAGCATCCTTCAGGAACTCCCAGGAACTTTGTCACTGAGGAAACGCACCGACCCGAGTGACAGAGATGGAACTACTGTTAGCTCTACTCCCCGTGGCCTTGGGCCAACTCAGTGTGGAAACACAAGGGCAGCAAGGCGTCACAGGTGCCTGGACGTGTCGCTGACTTTCTCTCTGGCCTTTGAGACTTTCTCTCTGGCCTTTCTCTCTGGCCCTCTGGAGTCCATTGCCATTTCGCGCCTCGAATAGTATTAATTCCACAAAAACACCTTCTGCCCGGCTCACTGGAATGGGAATTGTTAAAAAGAGGACAAAAGTAATACAAAATCTGAGGGCAGCTAATGGCCAAGAAAAGAGCAGTAATGAGTTTATTTTGGCATCTTTGGGGAAGAAAGCTTGTGTCTCTCCCAGACCGGCACCGTGAGCTTGCTTCAGAACACCTGAGCTCCGACACCTGTGTGGTCCTCCCTTCGGGAGCTGATGGCCTGGGGGTGGGGAGCCTCAGCACCCCCTGAGGCCTCAGCCCCTTGGCTCTGTTCTCTCTCCTCTGGGACCCAGGGCCCTCCTGCTCTTGGAGGGAGGGATTTGTCCCTACTGTGTTACCACTTAGGCCACCAGCCACAGACTCACACCAGCCCTTTCTGTGGCATTCCCAGAGGTCCCGAGCTGATTCTGCTGTTGCAAATGCTGTCATCAGGCCCCTGCCTACAGCATTCTTACCTCACATAGAACCCAGAGATTTCTAAGGAGATAGCTGGGACCCCGCCCATGGCTAGTTCATAATCAGTAGTTGCTGCAGGTAAGCTCTAGGTCCAGAGCTCTTCCACTCACTCACTGAATACGTACTAAGCAGCTGCCTTGGACTAGATTTACCCCCATCCACTGGAGACTAACCGTGAGTAATACAGAAATACCTGGTTCCTGCCTTTGGGGAGCTCGGATGTGCATTGTGACACAGACATGTCACACAGACACAGCGGTGCCCTCACAATCCCCTGTGATCAGCGCCATCACCGAGGCAGGTGGGGGGATCTTCCTGGGATGAGACACAGCGCTCTGCAGGTGTGAGGAGGGGGGAGAGCATGGAGGGGCCAGCACGGGCTGGAGACTCGGTAGGAGCCTAGAGCCAGCCTTGGCGGGCCCTTGAGCTAAGGTGGGGGCCGTGAGGGTGGAGAGGGACAAGAGAGGTCATTTAGCGGAAGTCCAGGCATCGACCCAGGTGCCGTGCCATTTGGGAACAGAAAATATAGGAGGAGTTGCCAGGGTAGGAGAAGTGGAGTTTAGCTGGACAGATTGTCTGAGGTGCCTATGAGACACTGCAGCGGAAAAGGCAAGTTAGTGGCCACAAGGACGATGCTAGAGTCCACAGGGTTTGAAAGACTCACTGTGGGTCATCTGTGTGGAAATGGCGGTTGGTTCCCCAGAAGTGTGTGTTGAGTGGTAAGAGCTGAGAACAGACCCCGAGGAGCACCAGAAGATGGAGGGACCAAACAACGCCAGAGGCTGAACCACCCTGAGGGTCAGAGAGAGTGTTTGAAGGAGGGAATCCCATCAGGGGCCGCGAATGTGTCCCATACAATGAGGACTCAACACCGCCCCCTGGAATCGGCCACCAGAGGTCACTGGTAGCCACGGTGAGGAGGGTCGCCAGGAGAATGGAGGGACAGAAAGAAAACCCATGAACCAGGGAGTGTGAATGGGTGAGAAGGCCATCAGGGAAGGAAGTGTGGAGACTTCTCAAGATGTCTGGTGGAAAAGGAAAAGAGAAGATTAGAATGGTCACTGGGACAGACTTTTCAACATTGATCTTTAATACTGAAAATGTTTCCACATGCTTTTATTCTTTTTTTTTTTTTTAGTATTTATTTGACAGAGACACAGCGAGAACAGGAACACAAGCAGGGGGAGTGGGAGAGGGAGAAGCAGGCTTCCCGCCGAACAGGGAGCCCAATGTGGGGCTCGGGGCTCGATCCCAGCACCCGGGGATCATGACCTGAGCTGAAAGCAGGTGCTTAACCAACTGAGCCACCCAGGGACCCCTTCAGTGTCCTTTTTGCAACTAACTCCCAAACTGTGAAGCTGGACCCTTCCTTGGGAACCTGGCATAGAGAAAGGACACACACACACACACACACACACACACACTGTGTTCCCACAGCTCCCAGTCCTGGCAGCCTGCTCACACTGTATGGGACCCAGGAATGGTAAGCATCTTAGGGCAAGGATTCTGCTGTATTCATTTTAGGTCTTGGCTCCCTGTAGGGCTCAGTTGGGGTCTGGTGAATGAAAGGTGGCAAGGGAGTGGATTTAAGTCGATGCAGGCATGCCGTCTACTGCATGAGAAGTCCAGTTGTGCCCATGCAGGGGGAAGGTGGGGCCACGAACAGCGTGTAAGTGCTGGGACACTGGCTGCCCGAGTCCTGTCTTCCAGATGATTTGCCCCTTGCTGCCATTACATGCCCTGTGAAGGTTCCAAACCAGTCTTCCTCTAAGACCTAAGAAAGCCAGGCAAGCGGTTGGTCAGCAAGTAGCTCTTTTCCTGCACGTGGGCCCTGAGTTGTGCCGCCCAAGCTGAGTGCTTCTTGGTACCTGCTTCTTGGTACCTGCTCTGCCATGAGCTACTCGACTTGGCCCATTAGTGACCGGACAGCTTCGTTTTTGCCTCTTTGTGTTTATAAGGTAGGATTATATTTATGGTCTGAAGGATCAATATAGACTTGGGTTGGTTCCCTATTTTTGTCAACATGGAGAATTAATTCCCACAACCAGTTGAGGACACTGGAGTGAGTCCCACTCGGGCCATTTTCTAGCTTCCTTCTCAACCTGGGCACTCAATGTTGAGTTCTAGAATTGATTTTGAAGAGTTGGATATGTAACCCCATGGAGCCTGGCCTAAAGCACATTGTTAACTTGTTGGTAGCCAAGCGTTTTCTTTGAGACACTGGCTTGAAGGCTGGGGGGGGAAACAAAACAAAACTCTTCATGATTCCTGATAAGATAAAGAAAGTGTCTGTCATTATTCATTAGGTTTATGGTTTCCTTTTTGGGGTGGCTGTCTCCAGTGGAATAAAATAAGATTTGAACTTGGGGCAAGTGTATGTTTCCTGTTTCAAGGAGTTCAGCTCTTAGCATAACCAAAATATCCTTCCTCCCTCACTGAGTAACTACAGAAGTCTTATGGCATGTGACAGGAGCGGGCGAGGGTTGCTTGGTGGCAGTTGACAAAATGTCATGAGCATGCATTTGCTCACCTCAGTGGTCACTGTCACATGGGATAGCGTGGCAGGGAGGCATGTGATCTCCCAAATAGGCCGGTCAGCTCTGCCTACTCAGCCTCACTCTGAGGAAGCTTCATCCCTTCTCTCTCATTTCCTTTTCCCCCGCCTCAGTCAGGGGCTGGACAAGATCAGAACCTCCCACCACCACCCACTTACCAGGTGCCGGTGAGGCAGTTGCCAGAAGTGGAGGACTTTGAGGCAGGGGTCCCCCAGTTGGCACATAGTTGAGTTGGGAAAGACAACAGGTGCTCTCCTGGGGTGGGCCAGCTAGCTTACCTCCATACACCCTGCCCAGGTAGATCACCACGTCCAAAGTCAAGGAATCATTCACACGCCGTCCCCTAGACTCTGGAAGAGGCTGGTCCAGTCCAGGCAGCAGGAAAACTGGCAATGATCAGGAGCACCCCCCGACTCCCACATCAGGCTTGCCAGCACAGGCAATGACCTAGTCTCACTTCTGCCATATCCACCAGGTGTAGACGGAAGGCGGTAGACTCTAAAACCCTCCTCTTTAAAAGAAAAATAGACTCTCTCCTCTAAAATAGGCTGGAAAGTAGCCCTGAGCAGGACTGAGACAATTCTGATGGCTACTTAGCATTTCACTGTCCTCAATAACCCTGGGTGCCCACTTGGCTAAGCTTCTGCGTCCAAACTCCTGCGCAAAGCAGGTTCCCGCCAATGACGGGGCCGGGCTCTTGGTGGTCTGCTGCCCAGAATTGAAATGTTGCCTGTCCAAGGCTGCCATCCTCAGGTTTCCTTTTTCTAATTGATTGATTGGAAAGTCGGGTGTAGACGTGATCGTGTTCCGTGGGCTTGTGTTCCTTGACACCATCAAGCAATTTTTCTTGGTAAGAGAGGATCCCAGGAATGGATTGGTACTCATGCTTCAAGCTTTTATAATGATGTCCTTGCTATTCTGGGCTCTCGGAAGATTAAGTACTTCATTAGTAATCAGGGCCCCGATTGTCAGTGTCCTTCGTGGGTCCCACGGAGAGGTTTGCTGCAGAAGCACCAGGACAGCACCAGGGCAGAGGGCCGGGCTGCTCACCATGCCCAAAAGACTCCCAGGCCCTGATCCCCGGCCCCAAGCCTCAGAACCTGTTCTGTGCCTCCGTGAGCATCTGGTGCACAGATAAATGTCAATCAGAATCCACTTTCACTCTTCTTCTAATACATAATGGCCAGTATGTCAAACTGTAGGTGCAGAAGGACCCAATTTTATTATACAACATATAAAGCCATTCATATATTATAGACAACTTCAGTTGATCCTTGAACAAATGGGGTAGAGGGGCACCCCCCCTGTGCGGTTGAAAATCCATGTATAACTTTGACTTGCCCAAAACTTAACTACTAATAGCCTACTGTTGACTGGAAGCTTTACTGATAACCTGAAGAGTGGATTAACACATATTGTGTGTTGTATGTGTTATAGTCTGTATTCTTATAATAAAGTAAGCTAAAAATAGAAAATGTTAAGAAAATCATGAGAGAAAATAAATTTATAATACTGTACTATATTTATAGAAAAAAAATCCTCAGGTAAGTGGACACACAGTTCAAACCCATGTTGTTCAAGGGTCAGCTGTATCATATACACATAGATTATACATATTTCTCTCCAGAATGATTCTTTGAAAACATGTCACTCCCCTGCTCAAAACCTTCCCTGATGTCCCGTCTCATTTAGAAAAACTTCCAGCATCCATGCCTCCACGCTCAGGCCCCGGGAGCAACCTGGACCTGATTTCCCACCCTCTCCCCTCACCACCCTGCTCCACGTCAGGCCTCCTTGCTCTTCCTCACACACTCCAGGCGTGCCCCACCTCACAGCCTTTGCCCTTACCGTGCCCTTTGCATGGAGCACACTTGCCCAGAATCCTCATGCCCGCATCCATTTGGGTTCCCTTTCCAATGTCCACCCCTCAGAGAGCCTTCCCTCACAGCCACCTGGCCTGCACCTCAGTCCCTAGCACACGGTATGTTCATCTCAGGGTAGGATGTAAACTCCCCAAGGGAACCATAAAGGCTGTTCCCACGGTTCCGCCTTGCCTGGCATGGTGCCTGGCTCCTCAGGGCCCTGGCCACAAACCTAGTAACTTAACAAAGACGCACAGGACACCATAACTGACACCAACCTGCAGCTTTACAAATATTAACATCCTTAACAACCACCCAGTGAGGCAGATACGGCTGTTATCCGTGTGTTTTACACAGAGAAACTGATGCACAAGAGAGGTTAAGTCGTTTACCCGAGGTCATACAGCCGTGTCCAAATTTGAACCCCAGCATCTGCCCTAGAGTCTGTATTCTTCACCACTGCCTCGTTGATGCCTGTGTTGGGGGCTGAGTGAAGGTGTGAATGAGCAGCAGGTTCCTTCATGCACAACAACTCGTACACAGGACAGGAAGTTACCACGTGACCCAGCTTTGTTATATAGCTTCTAAAGTGTGTGCCTGTCAACTGTATAACGCTTTTTATAGAAATTCACTGAAGAAGCCAGGAAAGGAAATGTACAAAATCATTCTAGTGATCACCTCTAGGTGGTGGGATTTGTAGGTGATGTATAATTTCCCCACTATGCCTATCTGTATTTTCCAAGTTTTCTGCTCGGGCTAATAATAGAATGATAAAATTAAAGTGATTGCCTTTCCAAAGAATGTTGTGATGAAGGGGCCAGCAGCTGTGCGTCCTGTCTAGGAACGGCTTGGGGCAGGGGAATCGAGGCATCAAGGCAGGCCACCCCTGTTGCTGCTGCTAACAGAGGTCTTCTCCCTCTGACCATCCAGGACATCATCGAGGGGGGCAACCTGCGCATCCCACTCCAGGAACTGCACCAGATGATCCTGACTCCCATCAAGGCCTACAGCTCCCCGAGCACCACCCCCGAGGCTCGCCGCCGGGAGCCCCAGGCTCCGCACCCGCCCTCCCTGATGGGCCCTGAGGGCCAGAGCCCCGACTGCAAAGACAGTGCCTCGGCCGCCGGGGCCACAGCCACCACCTCGGCTGGGGCCAGCGGCGGGTTGCAGCCACACCAGCTGAGTAGCTGTGATGGGGAGCTGGCCGTCGCCCCCCTGCCGGAGGGGGATCTCCCCGGGCAGTTCACACGTGTCATGGGGAAAGGTAGAGCCTGATTCTCACACCTCCCCCCTTTTCTTCGCTCACCACCACTAACCAGAGCTCCGGGTTCCTGAGGAGCTTCCCCTGAGTGCTGGATAAACCTGTCTGGGTAGATGCCATTAGCCCATTTACAGATGCGGAGAGTGAGGCTCAGAAGTCACCTGAACTCCGATCCCTCTAATCCCCAAAGGCCTCCTCCTTAACCCTGTCCCCTTTCTCTCCCACTCCCTCAGACCAGGGCTTGCTGGGCCCTCCTAGTAGAGTGAGTGCTCGGTGGGCTTCGGGCCTGTGGGCGGAAGTCGGCCCTTACTGCAGACAGCGCCTGGAAGGCACCATGGCCGGGCCGAGTGCCTGTCTGGAGGGCAGGATAGAATTCTCATGTGGTCCTTTAGGTGAGAGCACTCTTTCCACCTGGACTGCCCTGTGTCTCCCCCATGAGTGGCACAGTGATTACGTGATTATCCTTGAAAAGTCCAATGCTAGAATAACTTGTGCTCGAATGGGGTGTTTCACAAGAAAGTGTGATTGTGTTAAAAAATGCAGTGAATGCCCGTACTTTTCCTTTGGGAAGGAGAAACATTTTTTTCTTTATCGCCCAATCATTTTATTTATTTATTTTTTTATTCTTATGTTAATCACCATACATTACATCATTAGTTTTAGATGAAGTGTTCCATGATTCATTGTTTGTGCATAA